GGAAAGCCAAGAATTAAAATGGCAAGATGCCAAAGAAATGAGTGATGAAATGAAATATTTTTTAGCAGGTGTATTGATTGGTCTACCAAGTATTATGCCAATGTTGGCACCTACTATTAACAGGTATTATATATATAGTAATATGTTTTATATTATTTAAAAATTTATTAAATTACACACACATATATGTACACATATAGCTATAAACGATTAGTAGAAAATTATTGGGCACCGATTAATGTTTCATGGGGTTTAGAAAATAGAACAGCTGCAGTTAGAGTGATCACCCCACCAATTTCTTCACCATCATCTACACGCATTGAATTGAGAGTACCAGGAGCTGATATTAATCCATATTTTGCAATTGCTGCAACATTGGCATGTGGCTTGTATGGAATTAAAAATAAGCTTCCAATACCTATTCCACCTGAATCTGATCTTTCAACCACTAATAAAGTAGATGGTAAAGCAGTAGATGGTGAAATATTGAGATCAAGAAAATTGGCAAGAAGTTTAAAAGAGGCAACAGATAAAATGATGGAAAAAAATTCTATTGCTAGAAAAGTTTTAGGTGATGAGTTTGTGGATCATTTTGGTAAAACTAGATTACATGAATGGAGATTATGGGAAAATAGTGTTACTAATTGGGAAACTAAAAGATATTTTGAACTTGTTTAAAAAATATTAAAAAAATATTATTATATTGAAAATAAAGAACATTGTTAATTGTAATTTGGGGCATGCTGCAACAAAATCAGACAAAGTGAACATTGGTATTACCAAGAATTTCAGGGATCAAAAATTTAGTTATTATCATCACAATTAGTTTTATAATGCCCCATTTGTTAAGTGATATATAGAACTATCCCTATATAAAAATAGTTAATATGAAGCTAATTTACATTAGGTCTACCATGGAACCCAAGAATTACAGCACCATTAGAAGTATTTTGAAGAAAGAACAAGGTGAAAAAATTGCTCCTTACATTTTCAAAATAAATGATGCTCAGGCACTTGAAGCTTATCTAAGAAAAGAAAAGATTACCTATGAAATTTACCAAGAAGAAAGAAAAATAATAAATGTTAGAAAAAGAAAGCAGAAAGAAGATATGCTGTTATCCAACAAAAAGTGGAAACCCTTAGAAGGAAAATAATCTCATTGTTACAATATTAATTTAATTTAAATTTTTTTTACTATATACAAGAAAGAAACTTTCTCTTTTATGCAAATGAGATAAATAATTCTGCCTTGTTGTAAAAGAATCACCAATCCATTTTGTAACAATCCCTAGATTTTTTTGGAGATTCAACCAGTCCCTAAATTCTATTACCATATTCATAATGTGGAGAAATTCATTTTTGTTCCACTGGATGAACATGGATAATATTATTTGGGGAATTTGGCATTTATTTTATTTTATATTTATTTAAGAAGTTATCTTTCAATTATGGATTGTACTTTTCAGGAAGTTTATAAGCTTACCCACAAATATAGATATTAGATTCATTCATTTTTTATTTATTTATTTATATATTCCTAACAATTTTAAATTAATATTTAAAGATATAAAGTTAATTCAACTTTAACTTTTGTAATTTTACAACAATTAAATTACTTGTTGATTAAAAATTGTTCAATAATTGTAATAAATTATCTGAACATTTACACATTTATTTCTGGACAAAAAAAATATTCAAATAGCAACTTCTAATAAACACAATTTTATTTTTTTTGGTTCAAAAACAATCAAATAATAAATATTTTCACAGTATTTTCATTGATAATAACATTTAAAAAAGTGCTTACATTCAATAATGAATTTTTTTGTGGGTTGTTAATTGGACTCTTTCTTGGTTTCTTATTTCACTATAAAATTTATCAAAATCAATTCTCTTATAAATCAAAAAATTGATCAAATCAAATAGTCAATAAAATAGAACCAAGAAAAAGCCATTTCAAAAATAAAATAAACCAACTTACTGATGATAAAAAATATTCACATGAAATCAAAAATCTATGGAAGGTTTTCAAATAATTATTTGACAAAAAGACTGGGTTGAATCCCAATTTTTCATTTAATGAAATGGCTATTGAAATTCATGAATTACTTGAAAAGGGAAAAGAAATTGCTGCTTCTACAATAAAAAACTTCTACCAACGAAAAACCAATCCCAGAAAGAAAACAATAGAAGCAATTCAGCAATGGGTTGAAAAGGAAAAGAAGAAAGAGGTGAAGATAATAAAAACAATGAGGATATAAATATTATTAATAATATTATTGATAATAATAGTAGTAGTAATAGTGAAAGTTGAATTTTTGTCAGAGTGCCCAAAGAATAGGTAATACTTTACTTACAAATGGCTTTGTGTCCAAGTATTTGCCTCCCATGCAAGCACTCTGACAATTCTAAAGAGAAATACAATCACGTGTATATGTAAGTAATTAAAAAAAATAATTGATTTTTAAAGAGAAAAATTGCAAATAAGCAATCACGTGTATATGTAGGTAATTAAAAAAAATAATTGATTTTTAAAGAGAAAAATTGCAAATAAGCAATCACGTGCATATGTAGGTAATTAAAAAAAATAATTGATTTTTAAAGAGAAAAATTGCAAATAAGCAATCATGTGTATATGTAGGTAATTAAAAA